CCCTGAGTTTCTTTATGGCTTACAAGAATTGTGGGTCAGTTCTAAAGGTTTTGTTCCTAAATACGTATCCAAGCAAACACACACATTAAGAATGCAAAGAGTTTAAAGAAACAAACCCTAACCTGCCCCAGAGAAGGAAGAGTGCTATCTTTGTCTGCTGGGAGGCTTTTTTTTTCACTTGCTGATGACACTAATGAGACAGAAAAGAAAAAGGCATGTATTATTAGATCCTAATACATCCATTAAAGGGATGCATGAAGACCTGAATTCTCCAGCTGAGTTTGGTAGTCAAAAAGGGTTTTTTTTTTTCCTGCTAGTGCTGCTTGAGTTCTCATGACAGGCTTCTCCTAATCATCTAGAATACTCATCACCTCCAGATACTCAGGAATAGCCCCAAGATGTTTCCAAAGGAATACACTTGAGGTCTGATAGACAGCATCAGGAAAAATAGCACACCAAACATTTTTCTGCTCATATCATCTCCTTTGATGTTGCAAGAAGCCCGACGTCACAGGCTGTCTTAACACTCCTAATCGTAGCAGTTTTTTCCCCTGAAGTAGTCTGCAGTACTAAAGAAGCTTGCACATGATGAAAATGCACTTAGACCAAGAACCTCAAGGAGCCAAGAATGGCTCAAGCACTTGAAGTTACAGCACAAGAGTTTTTAGGAACTGCAAGATCAGGTGGCCACTGAAGACACAGGCAATGTACTCATCCTTTCATTGCGCCTAAGTCAGTATTCAAAGGCAGTTTACTATCATGTGAGCACAGGACCAATCTCCATAACAACCAGTTACATATAGTACTTAATCACTCCTGCAAGCCTTCAGTACATTTCCATTTCCAGAATACCATTAGAGGATCTTCCTAGTTGACACATTTTTGGGAACATGGATGAACTGCCACCACTGCTGCCCTCTTCTGAACTGAAAACTCAGAAGTCATGAACAGGAAGACTGTCATTCCCCATTTCTGAAGATCCAAACTATCACAAAATAGGTCCCAGCAGTTTGCCCAAAATGAGACAAGCAGAGAAGCAGATTTATGAACCAAGAACTCCCTCCCCATCTCTTCCTGTCCCCAACCTTCCTAATAATAAATGTGTTCTGATCATCAGATCTGCTTTTAGTCTCTTGTCGTTATCCCCCTCCCATATAGTAAAGAAGAGCAATCATCAACAAACAGAAAAACAAGGGACAAAAAGAGAAGCTTCAATTTGAGAAAGGGAAATTCTAATTTTTACTTCAAGTACTGTTCTTTACTCATTCATTCATACAAAACATTTCAGTTACAGTTCTTCTCACAAACCCCACAAGGAAACAAAACTCCTTGCCCAGAAATCCATACTGAAAATTAAACTCTCATGGATGTATCACTTACTTTGTATAGTTAACAAGTTGCCATACTAAATGACAACATATCTGCTAGTAAGTCAAAATCAGCAAATGCATCTACCCTGAAAGTAAACGAATCCCAAGAGCTGCTCAAATGTACTTTTCCCTTATACACAGGTCAAGCTGTAAGAAGGACAAGAGAAAAATGCACATTGAAGGTAAAATGCATTTCACTTTTTAAGAGACTGATACAACTCCTAAAAGATGCAGAGCAATTCTGGAACGAGTTACTTGGGTATAACCCAAAGTACACCAATGAAACCACTTAATTACAGTAAAGAGATTGCACATAAAATGAACTTACCATCTCTGTCCTCATCATGAATATTCAGATACAAGTATTCCAGCCCTCTTCCTTTCTTGCCATGCTCTGCTCCCTGTATTTTGGTCATAAGTGTAGTTTTACCTGAACCATCATCACCTGCCAGTAAGTTTTTACAGGGAAAAAAGACACTTTCAGAACAAGTTTTAACTTCTAAAAAAAAAAAAAGATTTTTCAAATTTTTAAGTAACCAGAAGTATCCTTGTACATTTTCAGACCATACTTACTTGTTATTTTCTTTTAAGTACTGCAGCTGAATCCAATGGCTTATACCATGACTCAATTATTTTCTGTTACAAAATCACAGAGTGGTCTTGTAACCTTAAGTCTTACACTAACAATAGTGTGTGTGCCTTTAACATAATAGAATAAACCAAACTGTTATAACTTAGTGACACGTAGAGAGAAAGCAATATTCAGCAGATAGGGGAAGAAACATCATGGGACTGATAACTAAGGACACAGTAAAGAAGACCAAGGATACCAGCCTTCAAAATAACAGTGGCGCCCACCGTGGAGTGAGACTGGAATAGAACAGAATTAAGGACATACCAACTGCCAACTCAGCACTAGGACCTCGCAAGCATGTGCAAGCACTGAAGTCATTCAGTAAACACAGTGAGGAAGATTACGGGAGGACCACCAAAGTCTCCTACTCAGCAAGAAAGCGCATGTGTAATCAGGATGCAAATATTATAATTAGTTCTTGGAAAAGCTATGAATATGCATGAGTATGCTAAATGTATAGCCACTGTCACCAAGTATCGGGTGCACTCACCTTTGCAAAACAATTCACCCGTGCGCCCAGTGCTGCAATAAAGAATGCTGCTTTCTCAAACACCAAACTGAGTCTTAAGAGAATTTCTCCAACCGACTTTTAGGGTAACAGTCTGGCCTTGAACACTTCCAGGGATGGGGGAGTAACAGCTTCTCTGGGCAACCTGTGCCCGCGCCTCACCAACCTCACAGGGAAGAACTTCTTCCTAACAGCTAATCTAAACCTACACTCTGTTATTACATATATTATATGTAACTTTTACATGCATTATTATTATTATATGCAATTATTACATATATTTAAACAAACGGAATGTCAACTGAATGTTAAAAATCTCACAGTGCAAATCAAAGAGCAGATCTACGAGTCTGAAGACAATAACAGCATAGATCATACTGCATAACTGCTTTAAAACCTTTGTTTTTATAAAAAAAACAGCCCCAACCATCGAATTGCCCGCATGTGTTACTTACCGAAAATGAGAATATTCTTGCCAGATGGCAATTTAGATCTTGACCGGGTAGAAACTTCGCTTAGTATTGAGGACCTAGAAAAACAGCATCACTGTTCTTAGGCCGCACATATGCATAAACACAACCCACACAGTGCCCATTCGACAGCACCGAAGAGCTCAGCAGATCCGCAAGGACCAATCCGGTTATATTCAGGGTATTTACAAACTGGATATGATGTTACAGTTACAGATTTAAATTCATTTTAAAAGGCCAGAAGTATGCCACCTTTTCAAGAAAAGCTTTTACAGTTTCTAAAATGCATGCAGTAACGATTTTTTCTCCCGTTTTAAGAGGCCAAATTACTGCAAAACACTACTTTTCAACTGGTGACTAACTCTTCCCACAATCCATTACTGTATTTCACACATAGCTTTTTCTGCCGTTACTGTTTCCAAAAGCGTTAACTTAGAAAGAAGCGACGCGAACACCAGAAAGCGAGTCCCGTACAGCCTTTTCCCCAGACCTTCCGCAAAGCCACATCCCAGGGACCCCGCACGCCTGTCCTCCCCACCCTCCAGCGATGCTGCCTCATCCCGCAGGCGCGGGGCTCCCTCCACAGCCAGGAAGGGCAGCAATCCTCACCGGCCCTGCTGCCTGGGCCGGCCTCCGCCGCGGGCAGCTGCCGCGGCGCTCCTGTCAGCGGGACCCGAGTGCAGCCTGCAGCCGGCGCCCATCGTCCCCCTGCCCATCAGGGCGGGGCGAGGGCTGAGGCGACCCAGCAGCCCAGAGAGACCCCGCAGTGACAGTCACCGGACAGGAGCAGTCGCTGAGCTCTGCCGCCGGGGTGGCCGCGGCCCCGGAGGTCTCCCCCCTGCTCCCCCCGGGCACTCACCAGAGGTTCTGCCCCTCCTCCTCTTCGCTGGGGAGCTCGGCGCCGCCGGGCCCATCCGGCCCCAGCAGCTTCTTCTCCACCAGCGCCCGCGCCATCTTGCCAACTGCAGCCACAAAGAGTGACCTCACCCGGGCCCACGAGGACCCCGCTCCGCCCTGTCCCGCCCGCCCGCGGGGGCGCTCCGCGCTGCCGGACCCGCCGCCGCCCCACGCGAGCCCGCCGCCGCTCCCCGCGGCCGCGCTGGTTTCCGATCAGGCGGAGCGCGGCCAGCCCCTGCAGCGCGCCCCGCCCTGGGCGGTGCCTTCCACTGCTGGGAAGGCGGAGAGGGAGACCAGGTCCCGCAGCGCCCCCTGGTGCCGGGGAGGAGTGCTCGCCGCCGCTCCTTGCAGCCGGCTGTGCTGGGTGGCTAAAGCCAACTAAAAATTATATTAATTATTCTTATGCAGTTATATTTTCATGATTCCCGTTATGTGTGGATTCCAAAACACTTCATGCAAGAAAATAAGTATAGAGATTGCACAGTCAATCAAAAAGAGAGAAAAAGATTGACTTGCACAGACGCACACAACAGGTTCCGGCTCACTTTCATCCAGGACTCTTCCCTTCTGATTACACAGTAATTTTTTAATGATGCCGTTTTCAGCAACTTGCATGACGAGAGCAGCTGAAACACTGGACATGGTTGTGGAAATTTAATAAGGCAAAGTGCCGGGTCCTGCATTTGGGCCACAAAAACCCCATGGAACACTCCAGGCTTGGGGAAGAGAGACTGGAAAGGACCTGATGGAGCTGAACATCAGCAGCTTGTGCCCAGGCAGCCAAGAAGGCGAACAGCATCCTGGCCTGTATCAGCACTAGCGTAGCCAGGAGCGTCAGGGCAGTGATCGTTCCCCTGTAGTGGGCACTGGAGGGGCCGCACCTTGCATCCTGTATTCACTTCCTGCCCTTCACTACAAGAGAGACATTGAGGTGCTGGACTGGGGCCAGAGAAGGGCAATGACGCTGGCAAAGCTCCTGGAGCTCAAATATGACGAGGAACGGCTGAGGGACCTGGGGTGTCTAGTCTGGAGAGAAGGCAGCTCAGAGGGGACCTTGTCAATCTCTTCTCTACAGCTCCCTGAAAGGTAAAAACCTAGTGCTAATAAGGTAACTAAACTTTTTCCATAACAAATTAGTTATCGATTAATCACACCTTTATCAGAATAGATAAAATATGCAAATGAAATAGTAAGGCTACCACTGAAAAATCACGTGCTTAAGGGTTTCAATAAAGCTTTCTCTGAAAACTGTGCAATTAGCAGAAATGGCAGTTCTGCCTATTTACTTGAGTAATACACAAAAAGATGTCTGCTACATGCTACTACATACATGTGGTGTTTTCTGTCATAGATACACTTTTCTGTACATACAGCACATTAAACTCACGACAAAATATTTTACCTACTTTAAACATTTCACTGATTAAGAGGAAACAAGACAAAACATTTGACACCAGTTTCTGACATAAATATTAATTTTAGCGATAGAGCCTTTTCTTACAAATGGTGTAAAGCAAACTATAGAGAGCTTCAAACAAAAAGGCAGATCAAATATTACATAAATAAAACATTCAAGAAGGTTCAGAGAACCTCATAAATTATTCTACTGGTATTTTGTTAGCTACTTTAGCATTATTTAAAAAAAAAAAAAAAAAGCAAACCCCCCCAAGCACCAAAATAACAAACTTAGGCAATTACATATAATTTCAATTTACAAAGTGGAACAACTCTGTCAATGAATGTTATCACTGAGAACAGGAGTCCAAGCCAATCTAAATTCTCCGAGGGTTTGTATTGCTGCAACAGTACACCACTGTTAAAAATGCCATTCTTCAGCATTCTGCAACAAGATCCAAAATACTCTTGAAAGGTGTTATTGATCTTTGGTTTTTTCTCACCTCTATAAAATGGAGATACAAGAAAATTTTTATAAATTTTTTATAAGAGCGAGTAGTGATAGGACAAGGAGGAACGACTTTAAACTGACAGATGGGAGATTTAGAGTAGGTATTAGGAAGAAGTTCTTCCCTATGAAGCACTGGCACAGGGTGCCCAGAGAAGCTGTGGCTGCCCCATCCCTGGCAGTGTTCAAGGCCGGGTTGGACGGGGCTTGAAGCAACCTGCTCTAGTGGAAAGTGTTGCTGCCTGTGGCAGGGGGTTGGAGCTGGATGGTCTTTGAGATATCTTCCAACTCAAACCATCCTGGAATTCTATGATTCTGTGAAAATATCAGTGCAAATGTTGACACAAAGCACTGCACAATTTCACAAAACACTGCAGTACGGAAAGACATCCCAATGAACACTGCCCCACACATCTGAATCACAGAAGAAATGATGCCCACCCAACCCATATGCAGCATCTCCCTGTACAGAGTGTGCACGTCAAAGATGGTGAAAATTGCCAGAGAGATTTTCACAAAATTGCCAGAGATTTTTTCCCCTTCAGAAAAGGGACTGAACAGAGAGATCAACTTCCTAATAAACATAGGGATTAATTTAGAGTCATTAACTGAAAATCTTACCCTTTATATCCTGCCAGGTGGCACTGGAGGGTTCAAATGCTCTCTAGTATTTCCCTAGTTCAGTTCTCCCTCTCCAAGCACCAGCCCTGGTTGGATTACATTGGATACTGTTCCAGTGCTCCAGCCTGAACAGCACTGAACTGACACCAAGCACAATCCAGTGGGTTGCAAATTCTGATGGCCTCTCTTTTTTTCCCCCAGTCAGTTCAGGGGCAAAGGCTGAAAACAGAACTGACAACATGCACATACAATAGTAGAAAAAAATATGATTACTTGCAACTGTAACCTGTAGTACTTCTTGGAAGGGTCAACATTTGTCCGTCCTTTCTGAAACGGATAAAACAACAAAATTACATTTCAGTGGTTACCTATTTTTTTTCACTCCACTCAAAAGATAGTTTATTTCTTCAGCTGTGAAATCTTTTCGGGTTCTTCTGTTGTTTAAAGTTTTTGTGTTTGTCTCCAGGGAACATTTTTCATTGTTCTGCGAATATTTATTTTGGTGAAATTAAAAATTATGTAAATTTGCATACTGTTTTGCATTCGGAAATAACACATTATTACTGGCAATACAATCTGAAGTAGTTCTAAAGAAATTATCACTTCGCCAAGATAACGATGGCTCTTCAAGGTTTCTCCACTGTCACCCATTTCCTGAAATACAGTAAGTATTACATTTCAATTTTTTTCACACCTTCATTTCTGTCATGCCTACATAGTTTAAATCTTTAGTATATTTCTGTTATTTCCATGCACATTTTCACTAATGCAGGAAAAAGCATACCTCCATATCTATTATTCAGAAAGGACTGTCAGTTGAAAATGCTTAATTCATTTCAGAGATAAATCAATATGACTGGAGTAGAATCAACAGAGGAATATCTCTAATGAAGTCCACTTTGGTAAAGGACTCCTGTTAAAGTTGACTTAAAAAGAATTCATGCAATTCACAGAGATTTTCTTTGGACATTTATAAATATGTGAGTGTTTTATTAGGCTTTGCATAACTAACCTCATCTCTTTCCACTGAATACTGGTGATTTTCTTTTAAGCACTGACATTCCAGGTTGCGCATTTCTTTGACTCTCTGCCTGTTCGAGTTAGCATCTTGGCTTTTTTGTAAAGCTATGAAATTGTGAACAAGGCCAGCTCTTAGTTACATTAAACTAACTGAAATCTACTGCTAAACTGAATACAGTGTTGCAAAGGAATGTTTACTCTAATGAACTTGAATATGTACATACTGTTTTATTAGGAATATCTCATTTTGTTTAGCTCTTTTTCTCATCATTGACATTAACACATGAGGATTGTTTATGCATTAGCAACTATCAAATTATAGGAACTAACTCCAACATCATTAATACTATGACTGAAGGTACCAGAACATACCTATTTTAATTATTAGCCATTTTGTCTCCAGTAGCAAGCACAGGTGCATTTCTCAAAGCCCTGGCCTAAATGCGAAGTCTGATCTGTAAGTTACACTTATTACAGAATTAATTTTCTGGTAATACTCACACTTTTTATACGTAGGTATCAAGTTACAGTCATTGGCCAAACTCGCATTTTTACTATGTCCATCTCTATTTGAAGTATTAGATTGTTTTTTTCTATCTGGAGTCAAAATAATACCTTTTAAAAAAAAAAAAACAAACAATAAAACATTATGCATTGTCCTGGGTTCAGCAGTAGCAGTCGTTTTTTCTCCTTCTTAGTAGCTGGTGCAGTGCTGTGGTTTAGACTTTTGGCCTGGGAACAATGCTGATAACACCGATGTTTTCAGTTGCTGCTCAGTAATGTTTACTCTGATCAAGGACTTTCTTAGTCTCATGCTCTGCTAGGGAAGAGGGGAAGATGGGAGGAAGCAGAAACAGGACACCTGATCCAAACTAACCAAAAAGGTAATCCACACCACAGCACATCATGCCCAGCATATAAACTGGGGGCAGTTACCCAGAAGGGCTAGATCACTGCTTCATCAAGCTGGCTATCAGTCAGCAGGTGGTGAGCGGTTGTAATCTCTTCCGTTGTTATTTTCGTTATCATTATTATTATTGGTGGTAGCAGCAGTGGTTTGTGTTACACCTTAGTTACTGGACTGTTCTTATCTCAACCCGTGGGAGTTACATTCTTTTGATTCTTCTCCTTATCCCTCCGAGAGCTGGGGGGACAAAAAGGGGGGAGTGAGAGAAAGACTGCGCGGCTGACTGAGTTTAAACCATGACAGTTCTTTTTGGCGTCCAGCGTAGGGCACGAAGGGTTGAGATAACGACAGATCTGACCAGAGTGTGTCTAATTGCATGTGTGATAAGCATTCATTGTTTCGGATTAATAGTCACTCGTCACAATGCTGATTTATTGGCTCTCAGAGTTGTTGCTCTTGATCTCACAATTTCAGCATGTTGTACCTTACTTAGAGCCGGTATTTGCTGTTTTAGTGTTTATCGGCTGGGGGCCTTGGGCTATTCTGGTGTTGTCATTCTGTTCATACCAGAGAGGGACAAATCATGGCAACGTGCTGGGGCTTGGCCTATGCTTACAGAGCCCTGTTCAACACTATCCAGCACCTTCAAAAGGAAAAAAATGTCCCTAGATCTGAGGGCAAAGCAACAGACAGCGCAGCTACTCCAGCTCCAAGCACAGCAGCTACACCAGCCCCAGTGATAAGTACAGCAGCTACTCAAACCCTGACTGAAACAGACAGTGCAGCTACTCCAGCTCCAAGCACACCAGCTTACCAGCCCCAGCAACAAGTACAGTAGCTACCCAAACTTCGACAACAACAAACAGCGCAGCTAATCCAACTCCAAGTACAGCAGCTATACCATAGGATCAATTCGTGCCAACATTGTTTGCCCCTGTACACAAGAGGAAAAGTCAAAAAGAGGCAAGAAAGATGAAGCAAGATGAAGAAACAATGTCCTCACCACCCGGGACAGCATCTGACCAGGAGTTTATTAGTATGTGAATAAGAGGAAGAATAGGTGATGTCTCAACCCTGGACCTCAACCAAGCTACAGAATATGCGAAAAGATTTTACCCGTAAACCAGAGGAGCACATCATCACCTGGCTGCTCCAATGCTGGGACAATGGGGCCAACAGTTGCGAACTAGAAGGTAGGGAAGCCAAGCAGCTGGGATCACTTGCTAGGGAAGGAGGAATTGACAAAGCAATTGCAAGAGAGAAAAAGTCCCTCAGCCTTTGGAGGTGGCTCTTGGCAGCTGTGAAAGGTTTCCATACAAGGACGATGTTATGAGTCGTTTGGCCAAGTGGATTACTCTAGAGAAAGGCATCCAATCTCGGAGGGAATCAGCCATTGTAGAGATGATCTATCATATAGATCATAACAGGGATGTACTCATAGATTGGCATAGATCCCTCATAACGGGGATGCCAAATAACGGGGATGTACTCATAGATCCAGATGAAGTCAAATGTACACAACCCATGTGGCAGAAATTTACACAGAATGCACCATCATCATATGCCCATTCATTGGCAACAGTAATCTGGAATAACATAGTACCGCTAACAGTGGATGACATGATTCATAAACTCTGAGAGTTTAAAGACAATCTCACCCCTTCCATCATCTCAGCTGTGGAAAAACTGTCCCAGGAGTTCAAACAATTGAGAGACAATCTATCAGATCTATTCAGCTCCCCACGTGTACCAACACACATCTATGCTATTAACAAAAGGCGTCTGCTGCTTGAGAGAGAAGACACAGAAGGTATACGCCACAGGCCACCCTGTGGTTTTACCTGCAGGATCATGGAGAAGACATGACAAAGTGGGATGGAAAACCTATCTAGACTTGTTCTCCATATGGGACCTCAAGGGGATTTGATTTTAGGGGAAAACAGCCAATGAACTCAATTGTATGCTGTTGTGTGCTATGTAGCACTTTTATAGCCCACCAACTAGATGTCTTCAGGTCACCAGCGACTGGCCCTGACTTCCCTCCAACCGTCATCCCAACATCCTGACTGAGTTTAAAACACAACATGCATCTTTCTTAAAAAAAAAGAAAAAAAACCCCAAAACATGGGTAATGTTGTAGGAATTAAAATGTACGAGAACCATTTTTCTGAGCCAAACTGCTATCTGGTCTTTGAAGAGAGACTGGAAAAATCAGTTTACTTCAGAAAATATTTACTTGCTAAAGATAACATATTAGCGTATTAGGCTCTTGAAATTGAATACAGTTAGAATTTATTTATTTCTTTTAACAGACCTCCATAGCTATCATAGAATCATAGAATAGTTAGGGTTGGAAAGGACCTTAAGATCATCTAGATCCAAACCCACTGTCATGGACAGGGACACCTCACACTAAACCATGACACCGAAGGCTCTGTCCAACCTGGCCTTGAACACCACCAGGGATGGAGCATTCACAGCTTCCCTGGACAACCCATTCCAGTGCCTCACCACACTTACAGTAAAGAACTTCTTCCTCATATCCAATCTAAACTTCCCCTCTTTAAGTTTGAACCCATTACCCCTTGTCCTATCACTACCCTCCCTAATGAAGAGTCCCTCCCCAGCATCCTTACAAGCCCCTTTCAGATACTGGAAGGCTGCTCTGAGGTCTCCACGCAGCCTTCTCTTCTCCAGGCTGAACAGCACCAACTTTCTCAGCCTATCTTCATATAGGAGGTGCTCCAGTCCCCTGATCATCCTTGTGGCCCTCTTCTGGACTTGTTCCAACAGTTCCATGTCCTTTTTATGTTGAGGACACCAGAACTCTACACAATACTCCAAGTGAGGTCTCACAAGAGCAGAGTAGAAGGGTATGATCACCTCCTTCAACCTGCTGGTCACGCTGTTTTTGATGCAGCCCAGCATATGGTTGGCTTTCTGCTGTGAGCGCACACTGAAGCCGGCTCATGTTAAGTTTCTCATTGACCAACACCCCCAAGTCTTTCTCCACAGGGCTGCTCTGAATCTCTTCTCTGCCCAACCTGCAGCTGTGCCTGGGATTGCTCTGACCCAGGTGTAGGACCTTGCACTTCTCATGCTTAAACTTCATAAGGTTGGCATCAGCCCACCTCACAAGCGTGTCAAGGTCCCTCTGGATGGCATTCCTTCCCTCCAGCGTATCAACCGAACCACACAGCTTGGTGTCGTCGGCAAACTTGCTGAGGGTGCACTCAATCCCACTGTCCATGTCACCAACAAAGATGTTGAACAAGACCAGTCCCAACGCTGATCCCTGAGAGACACCACTCGATACTGGTCTCCAGCCAGACATCGAGCCATTGACCACAGCTGTTTGTGTGCAGCCATCCAGCCAGTTCTTCATCCACCGAGTGGTCCATCCATCAAATTGATGTCTCTCCAATTTAGAGACAAGGATGTCGTGTGGGACAGTGTTGAACACTGCACAAGTCCAGGTAGATGACATCAACTGCTCTGCCCCTGTCCATCAGTTCTGTAGCCCCATCATAGAAGGCCACCAGATTGGTCAGGCAGGATTTCCCCTTAGTGAAGCCATGCTGGCTGTCAGCAAGCACCTTGTTGTTTTTCATGTGCCTTAGCATTCCTTCCAGGAGAATCTGCTCCAAGATTTTGCCAGACACAGAGGTGAGACTGACTGGTCTGTAATTCCCCAGGTCATCCATTTTCCCCTTCTTGAAAATGGGGGTTATATTTCCCTTTTTCCAGTTGTCGGGAACTTCACCTGACTGCCATGATTTTTCAAATATGATGGACAGTGGCTTAGCAACTTCATTCGCCAGCTCCTTCACGACCCACGGATGGATTTCATCACGTTCCATGGACTTGTGTACATTCAGGTTCTTAAGATGGTCTCGAACCAGATCCTCTCCTACAGTGGGCCCAAGGTCGTCATTCTCACAGTCCCTGCATCTGCATTCCAGGACTTCGGTGGTGTGGTCAGAGCATTTGCCAGTGAAGACAAATAAGTCATTAAGAACCTGAGCCTTCTCCAAATCCAGTTTAGCCAGTTCTCCTGATGGCTTCCAGAGAGGGCCCACATTGTCTCTAGTCTGTCTTTCATTTGCAATGTACCTATAGAATCCCTTCCTGTTATCTTTCACATCCCTAGCCAAGTTTAATTTAATTAATTAATTTCTGAATCTGGAGGGGAAAAAAATCTACTCGCTTTTACCAGAAATTAATTAAGTAAAATAATGATATTCACAACTCTACCTTGTTAGTAGTATCTTATTCAACACCTCATAATACAGGACAGGTAAATGTAACTCCAGTACTTAATTTTCTGACAGGTTGTTTTCAGTTACTTGCTCTAGTGTTGATGTATATGTTAAGGTTTACCCTTTTAGCTATTCAGGACACAGAGGCCCAAGTCCTTATCAGAGCTCCAAGCTGGAACAGAAACAGGTATGACAGGATAACATGGCTATAAATGTATAATAGAGTGATGCTGAATCCAGAAACAGGAACTGTACTGTGCTCTGGTCCTGACTATACCTCTCAATTTAAAATTAAAAAAAAAAAAAAACTAATGCCACAAAGCTGAAGAATAGCAGATGGCAAGGAAGCAGCCCTGGCAGGATTTGAAGAAGTATCTTCAAAGTGCCAAATTCGTTCTGAACTAATGTGCATAACGCAATATCAGGATTACAAAATCGCATTTTTCTGGCCTGTAGATATACAGATTTTTTCACAGAATCTACAGAAAAACCCACAACATAATTCCCTATCCACAGCTTCTCATGCTAAACTTCTGCAAAAGAATTATTTGGTAAAGGCTTTTTGCATTAATTTCTAAACCAAGCCCTTACTTTGAAAATCATCCATTTCACTCCTAAAAGTTGGTATTTCTGCATGTACTCTTTTTTTCTTCTTTGGGGTCAGTAGTATTTCTGCAAAATATAAGATGGATACCAGTAAAAATGCCAGTAAGTAATAACTGTTTAATTTTCAAAGTGCTCCTTTAAACAACAACAACAAAAAAAAATACAGGATACGCTTTAATTTCATTCATTAAGAACTATAAGCCTCTCATGTCCATAAATATATAATATTAGAATGAAATTACCTTGTTATAATGTCATACATTCATTCACACTTACTTCAACTTAATATATTCTCTTTATTAGTACCCGAATAAGCCCTTACTTTGAGAACTATCCAGTCTGCTCCTAAAAGTTGGTGTTTCTGTATGCAGTCTTTGTTTCTTCTCAGGGGTCAGCAGTATTTCTGCAAAATATAAGATGGACACCAGTACAAATACCATTAATAACTGTTTAATTTTCAAAATGCCTCTTTTAAACCAAATAAATACAGGATGCACTTTTATTTTATTAAGAATTATAAGCCTCTCACATGCATAAATATGTAATATTAGAATGAAATCACTTTGTTATAACATAACATATATTATATAACAATATAAGATATAACAATATAATATAAGAAAGACACAAGATCCTCAAACAGAAGTTCCTAGTTCTCATCTTGCATAGTACAAATCATTGGTAAATCAAATTAAATGAGTGAGTTTACAGGAGCAGGACAATCAGAATCAAACTAAAATAAGTTCAGTATTTTAAATACTATTTACAACAATAGTTACAATTACTAAAAAATACAATCATAATTACTCTCAGAAGCTGCATATCTCCTATTGTTACAAACAGTCAATTTGAGAAGCTCCTTTTTACGTCTTTCTTCTGCTTCCAGAATGACTTTGTGATGGTCACACTGGTATGGACAACTTTGCAACACCTTGGTAAAGGTTTTACTATTGAAGGACAGTTCTCCTGCTTTACAACCTGGAAAAACACCAGGATATTGTAGAAACAGCAAGCATGAATGCTATAGAAGCCATCACAAAATCCAGTGTTATTTTGACACCATGATCTATAACTTAACCTCCATTTTCCATATACACATCTCAAAAGACATAATACTTTTGTGTGCCTTCTTGTTTTGTACTTGCTCTTTTACACTGCACTTCAACTCCAGAAGGACTAAATGAGGCATGGATCCTCTAGGGAAGTGAAAATATTAGTGGGACTGGAAGAAAGGTGCTTCAGTTCCCTTTGCAGATTTATCCAGGAGCCAAAATATAAAAGATGTCTTTGCTATTTTTTTAAACTTTCTGTGTTATAACAGTTACCTGTATTAACCTGAATAAACAATGTCTATCTTACAAATTTCCTCACAGGAAGCCTTCCTGTTTGGTTTTGGGGACATTCCTAGGGTAATGTATGGTTTAGTTATTCTTGGATGTTCTCATAGTTAGTTACATCAGCTGAAGGTGAACTTCTGCACTGTGTGGAGTTACAAGAACATCACTGGAACATAACTACAATATTCTAGCCTAAAATAAAGCAGTGCTAAAGATCAAGTTGAATTTAGTTTGACAGCTGTATGCCTACATGACGTTCAAAGGTGGCTTACGGTGCTTCACACTCCCCCCCCCCCTTTTTTTTTTCTTTTTAAATCAAGATACACAGGCTTAATTACAAAATACACTTACAAACCCTGAGTGCCAGCAGCATTCTTAGAACATACTGATAAACTGTGTTTAGGAATTAGAAGATGGGATAACTGAAGGCTGCAATCAGGGATTACTGTAAAACTGACAGACTGTACTTAATAGCAGTAACGCAGAGAAAACAGAAGGGCTGCAGAGTATTTAGGAGGCTTAGAAGAGGAATACATGAGGGAACTGAGCAGGGCTCCAAGATTTTCCTCGCTCTTTCCAATCAGAGAAAGGAGGAAAGCACGCACTCGTAAGTGCTCTTGTAATAGCATGTCATCTTTTAAGCTGTTGTATACTATGTTAGTAAACCCACATTAAAAGGTAACTAGACTGAAACTGGCATATGTAAGCTTTATTTCAATATTTAGTTTTTATTAGTGGGACAGGAAAAGGAAAGGAAGCTGTTAAGAATTGCATAATGGATAATCCTGTAGATGTGTTAAAATCTCTGTAAGCCTCCTTTTATGAACTCAAGAAAGAAAGACCTAGGATAGTATTTACCTGAACACCTGAAATCTGCCATTTTCTGGGATGTAGATGTAGCTGAAGTACTTTTTTCTCCTTTGGTTATCTCCGAGTGTTGATCTAAATTAGGAAGGAAAAAAAAACACCAAGAAAACGCAACTGATCTTTTCCCATGGCAATCATGCATCAGCACACCTATATTCAACTGTATTTACTATCTCTAGGTTATTAAAGTTTAATTTACATAACAGCAAAAACTCCAAATGAAATTCCTCAATTTAAATGGATCACATTTATGTTTTTGCAAATCCAGAATAATTACATTTAATTCAGTGCTTTTTTCATCATTCTCCCAAAGCATATTGCTTGTACTTGAACAGAGCAAAACAATCCTGCAAACTTACATTGCTTAACTAAGCTCTATAAACTTTATTTCTATATGGAATCAGATGCTGAAAAATGTGATGTGCTGGAATAATACTTATTCTCAATTTTAATAGGTATAACCTGGAGATAACCTTGGTGGCTTGTAAAGCTACCATTCTGGCAAATACTAATCTAATGAATAATTATAAATTCTATAAATTAACAGGAAACTAAATTATGAATAAAGATTTGATCAAACACGTCCCAGTTTTGAAATAAATGTATCAGACTAAAAAGATCAATGCAAATCTGAAAAACATCTATCTTAAGCACATCTTCAACATGTAGGAAAAGCTTTAAGCAAGTCATGCTCACAGGCAGGTTCTATCCCCGGTCTTACAATGACAGATCCTTACACATTTTCTATTACTGGCTTTCATTGTTCAGTATAGACTGCATTCAGACTAAAATGAAAACATTTATCTGTGATACATTTATGTGAATAGTTAAAATCAACTAAAAAAAAAAAGAAGCTAAAATATGTATTAGAAGAAAAGGAAAATAAATATTCTCCTAGTAAAATTGCACACACTATAAAATTCCCAAACTATGCAAACAGTTAAGTGATACATTACACAATGTACTCCATCATCTAACGATACATAAATTTTGATTAAAAAAAAGTGATAAAAACACACACACCTAATAAAATCTCATCAAGAACAAGATTATTTAAGAAAGGAATATGTCTATTTATACCTGATGTGCATGTCTGTTTCACGTTTTTAATGATCTCTGCTGGTTTCTTAAATAATTGTTCACTGGGAAGATCAGAATGTAAACAGTGGGAAAAATAAAATATCACATTTTCAAACATATATTTACTTGTAAATCAATACATACATTCCAAAGGCAAAACAAAACACATATTAAACATATAAAAGATTAAACTTAAAAAATTCTAATTATTCCATGTTACTGGGGTTGTAGTATCCAGGATGTAATCACTGTGTGTTGGAACTCGGTTTACCAGAGCCCTGTGATAAACACTCCTTGCAGTGCTGTTTAGCACTGGGAGTGCAGTGCTTTCAAGGGAAGCTGACTCATTTGCAATCCTGATTAACGTAAGGATTGCTTAGTGCACACAAAACTTTCACAATCTCTTCCAAATACTGTAGCCTTCAATAGAGGTAGCAATTGCTCTAAAAGGCAATTGATATTTTTTCTTACACTGACTAACTCCTATGCTACCTATGTACTCCTGTGATATGGTGATCATACATTTTTCTATGTCATTGACTACCTCCAAATGCTGCAGGAGCAGGGAGCCTGATCCATGGTTATCCTTGGTTAACTCCTTTTGTGTCACAAATACACATGCAAGGAGAAAGCTTTCCTCCTCCCCCCTCCTCCCAAAAAAAGTCTTAATAGTTTTGTGCTTCAGAGTCCAGAAGAACAAATAATCTGTGTCAAATTATGCTAATCAGTAGCAAAGCAAAATTTATCTGAATGTACCAGGGAAAGTAATTTCGGTGGTTGTTGCAAAGGTACAATATAATGCATGCAAGGAAGCTGCACATGAGCAGGGTTCAGCCAGCCACATTTGTGTGAGAGTAACGAGCAAGAGAACAATGAATGACTAAACAAGGCTCTATCTTTCTCTTCCCATGGAGGGAAGCAATTGAATATGAGGGGAGAAAAGCAGGGAGTGAAGGCTTTTTTCTGTAGCTCGTAAGCACTCCATTTTTTTTGCAGAGCAGATCTGTAACTCCTGTTTTCCTAGGAAATGCACATAAAAGAATTCTTTGTGGCTTCATCCAAATCAATGGTTGAAATTTTGATCTACTAAATCAGCGAGAATTTTGAGGCAAAAACAATGGATGATTTTTCATCAATATGTTGAAGACATTAGGCCTGTACTGGCTTCCTCTACAATGTCAGAAGCTATTATTTAGAGAAAAAGATGGTACTTTATTACTACCATGCCTATCATCTTCAATCTGTGACTTCAAAAACACTTCCACAAAATACTCTCTAATGAGCCACCAAAAGCCTATGCCTTTCCACTAGCAGAAAAAAAAAAAACAACTACTTAGTAAAAGCTAATGTAAAAGGCTAACATTCAATTTAAAAATTATTAAAGAAAAACAAGTTAGTATTTCTGCTTAGGTTTAAGACACTTACCTTACTTGAATAGATTGATTTTTTACACAAGTAGTTCTTTCATTTATACTATGACTTTGTAGTACACTATCTGTTTGCAGTTCATTAACTGAACACAGACTATTCCTCTGTTCACTTTGTCTCACAGAAGCATTTACTAGATTCATAGGGTTAACTATTTCATTTTTCAGTGCAGAAGAATTTACAGATGGAGAAAGAACCTGATCATCTGACTGTGGACAATGTATTTCTTTATGTGTTCTTGCTATGTAAGTTTCTGGATCAGCAGGATTCACCTCACAGTATTTGGATGCTTCAGCACTGGCTTCTGAGGATCTTTCTACAAATACTCCTCCTTTCGCACTTTCCTGTATTGAAAAACACTAGTCAGTGACTATAGAAGCTCCATAAAAATATTAAATAATTCTATTAACAAGATTAAGTAAGATAGACAAGTCTAACTCTGGAGGTAACAGAAATTTCAGAGAAGCTTCAGAAACCCCTGAGTTAAGAGCCCACAAGACAGTGCTGCTGAAGGTGTTGAAAGGGTAGTTACTAAGTGGTAATTCCAGGCTGAAGCACTGGATTTGCTACTAATATGAGGCACTTCTAGAAATGAAAGTATTTAAGATCCAGCTGAATAACTAAAAAACTTGCAGTTCCACACCCAGAGATAACATGCAGTTATATAGCACAAGGAAAATATGCAACAACTTTATTTTAGTTTATGCCCTCATTTTCCATTATCATCTATCTCACAGCTGTACAACCATGGGCATGTCATGGTTGCAAATATTAAAATTATTGCTTCAAATATTTGGCAATTAAAAATAAATCCAACTCTTTTTTCTCCAATCTAAATGATTTCAAATTTGTAGAAAATCTGGTTTTACAATAAATTGAAATGCTTCATAAAAACACAGATGCCTATATTCTCCAATTGCCCTGCATGCTTCTAAATCTGTATGATATAATGGTAGAAGTTGCAGGTTGCATTTTCACACACATCCCATGTTTTCCCTACTTTTCTAGCTGACACTGAAATAACCTTAAGTGTTTACATTTTATTTAACCCAAACCCTGGAAAAAATTGCTTAGTTTTATCTACTTTGGTAAATGGGCCAACCTCATTACACTCTTTTTCAAGCAAGTTTGTTCTGTATAAAATTTCTTTTGCTTCCTTCCAGTAGTCTTCTAGACTTCTTTTTCTGACTTGCATGTCCAACTCCTCTGTATTGGTTGCATTTAATGAATTATAATTTATTTTCAGGAACAATTGTTTAGCTTTATAAATCATAAAAAATAAAACTATTAATATTACAAGCTTTTTTAAATGAACATTTCAATAAGCATTATATTTTAGTATGCTGAGGGACAGCCCCAATAATTTAATGCAAAATATAACCCTGAATAATAATTTTAATATAATTGAATGTACATGTAAATGTTAATAAAATTAAAATATAAAGTGCAGTTACAAGAGGTGAGGTTGCAATTATAGTTGCTATAAGCTTTTTACACAATAATGCTCTGCTTTAAGAAACTCTTGTCATGGACTTAATCCTCATTCTATAGGTCTGTTACCTATATATGTCTCTGCTTTTTTTAAGAAACAGCTCCATATTAATGGGCACTGAAAATCACTACACCCCCTCAATCTTATACAAAACTCTTAGTTATGTTTGTAGCACAAAAATGTAGATACATGCTTTTTTACTAATTATCAACTGCATAATACTTCCACGCTTTAGAGATTAAAGGACATGTCTTTCTGTATTCTACAGCTAATTAAAAACAAAAAAAAGCATAAAAAAACATTTAAAAGGATACTTCAAAATACACCTTATTTAAAAAAAAACAACAACAAAGTATTTTTTTCATGTTGCGAAATAACTGTAGTCATGGTGATTTTGGGCTTGATTATCGACCAGCTTAGCCTTTATAAATAAGGGTACGTACCAAGGAATAGAGTACCAACTGTGTGTTAGATGACAATGCTAATATTTGCACAGAATTTATAGATGGGAAAGCTTTCAAGAACTGGCCCTACATACATAGATTTCACAAATGCACCATTGCAACACTGTTGGAATTTTTACTTTTCTTTCTTGTGCCTAAATGCTGTTATCAGTCCATGGTAGTAAACGTGCAACTTTTCTGCAGAAAACGAACATCACTTGAAGTACAGAGAATTACAAAGTTGCTACAGTGAAAATCACTTAGAAAGTCAACAGAACTTAAAAACAGAAATAATATCTGTATTTTTTAAAGCAGTAACAGAAAGCTTACTCATTTGTTTGCAGTTTTTAAGCACAAAAGTAGCCACTTTGTTTAGTTCCTCATCCTGAGACTCAGTTAATAACTGAATCATAAGTGGAAGACCATTATTCTGGAGCAGCTCACACTGGTTTTCTTCTAAAACAGGATATTGTAAAGGAAAATAGATTGTTTTTAGTTTCATACACAGTTTCATTGTGGATCCAAGCATGCTGTAATGACCTCTTACCTGGGTTGCAGCAAAAGCACTTTCAATCACACAGGATAATTTGACCATAGCTCAAAGCTATTGTAAGAAAATTGAAGGAGGACTGAGATGAATTGTGATAGAGATACAAACTCATTTAACTGTTGCCTAAAAAATCTGAATTCTGGCTTCTGTATTTCTTTTCCTCTGGTATATACTCCTAAAGTATATACACTATATTTATGTAGATCTTGAGATGCAGAAATATCAGAAGTTTGTAACTGGCAAAAGTCAAATAAAATTAGTAGTTTAACCCCAATCTAGCTAATCTGTTCCTCCTCATTAACTATGTAATTAGCTATATTTTTTACTGTGATGTCATTTGTTGTATATATTCATACACCTGCCAACTTCCTAAAAACTAATTCTTTGTTGTCTAAATAAAACAAGGGAATAAGAAAAACAAATGAAATATGGTTATTTTGTTACTGGTGACATTTTAAGAGAAACTTTCATTCTGTTGGTTTTATCATATTTCTATTTGAAAGACATTTTCCATTAAGCTATTTTAGTTAATTCTTCATGAAAAAGCATCTTTAAATCTGATTTATGACCTACTGAGCTTACTATTGGACTTGTTATTGACAAAGGATGATAATCAATGAGGATTTTGAACATAATCCTTTTTTCTTGCATCTCTGAAATACACGTGAAAAAACAGTAGTATAAATAATGATCAGTATTTCACAAGTTCCCATTCTGTTGCTTTTACTGCCATAAAATACCAACTGAAGTGTTAAAAGTTTCCATCCTTGGGAAAGCCCTGAGGAGCCTGGCAAAAATACTTCAGGATTACCTAGTGCTTACATTACTTCAACACTAATACCTTTACATAGCTTTTAAAAGAAATTAACAGCTATGTAAGCAGTGGACAGAAGCTGTATGTATCAAGGACCATTAAAACAAAGCTCAAAAAGACTTGTGTGGCGTGATGTCTTGTAGTAGCTTTCATGTCTGGATGAATTTTATCCTGTAATACCTAAGACCAGCTCTGAATTCCTGCATAATAGTTTGCTTTTTCTATATATTAATATTACATTATTTAAAAGAATTTCCCTTCATTTTCCAGTCTTGATAAATGATACCATTGAAGTTGTTAGTTTGTAACAATTCAATTGAGACTGATAGAAAGAAAAAAAATGTATCTTACCACAAACTTCAGTACAGTGTCCAATGGTTAGAATAATACTAATTTTTTCTCTTGTATCCAGAGTGTCATTGGACAGCAGCTTTAGTAGCTCTGACACAGTGTGGTACTTTGTCAAGACAATACCTATGGTAGCTATTATGTAAAAAATAATATGAAGAAAAATAAACACAATAATAAGGATATAGGCATCATCCAAACATAAAATGCTGTTTTTCAAGGGAACTCTGCAGCCCTCTAAAAGCCTTGGGTCTGCACAGTCCTTCTCTTTCATTTTAATACTTTAAGTCATCACATCCCTCCTGGAGCAGCAGTTCTGCCCCATAGCTGACGCAGCACTTTCTCCCAGATTGTGTGGTATAGAGATGTGGCAAAATACCTGACTAACAAGGGCTTTGCAATGTGCAGGTTTTGTAGACCTCTGCTCAGTCCACATCTTTTATCAGCTCCAGAATACAGCAAAAGAGTAGAATAAGGTTTGACACATGGATTATCTGCCACAAAAATGCTAAGAATGTTTCTGATACAGGGCAACCTCTTCCTGAAACCAGGAACACCACTGCTAGTACATACATGCTGACACCTAATCCTGTCCCAGATAAACTTCTCTGAAATAAGCTCAAAACTAGTGCAGGTATATGCTTTTAAACTTTTTTTTAACTTCCATTCACAAGCATTTAAGAGCACAAGTGTCAAATTTAATAGCCACGGCCAACAGCACAGATTGATCAGGCTCACAGGGTTCTCAAAATCTGATGCAATACGCAAAGACCTCATTAGGATAGCACTCTCCAGACAGTAGATCAAAGTGAAGATGTGTTATGCAAAAATGCCACATCTGTTCAGTTCCACACCTGAGTTACTAAAGCCTCCCAAAGCTTACAAAGGTTATTAGTTTAGGCACAGGTCTATAGAAACAGATCTCTAACTTCAGGATCCAAGCTGACTGCCACACACACAGTTCTCAGCTTTACTTACACAAAACTAGCATCTTATTTTTAATTTTCAGTCTTGTTTAAATTACATTATTTCAGCAATAATGGGAAAGTAACCCACCTCAGATGAACTGAACTGCTCCCCATATACTTGTTTGAATTTAAAAAAAAATCTGCAATATCAATGTATGTGATTTAATGCCCTCCAGCATCCATTCTTATCACTTTTCAATGAAAAACAGACCTGAAAAATTTCATTTTAAAATTAGCATATATAAAAAATGGTAATGCTCTTTTCACTCACAGTCATTAGCAACGCAGGCATCCAGAGTCTTTGTTACTGCTATTGCAAGTTTAATGCTGGAGTGACTCATATTGGAATCATGCGTAAGCCTGGTGAGAACTCTAGCTAATGTATCCAGTCCCCCAACAGAAACAAAATATTTCTGCACATATGCTGAGTAAAAAAAAAAAAACAAGAAACAAAGTGAAAATGTCTTAAATAATACGTGTTGCAAACTGTTTTAGCATTTTAGCAATTAGGCTCATCACAATTTTTTCTGTGACTGTATTAACCATTACATTTCCACCCATGTAACTGAAGTTAAATATATGCTAGTCTCAAGGAATGTAGTAATTGTCATACAAAATAGTTACAAGGAACACATGGCCTTAATGCTTGCATGCAAATAGCAAACCTTATGCCCAAGTTCTACCAACGTCACTGTTTTCAGAGATGTAACATCTTGTATTTGTAAAATACTTTTAATCAAAACAGCTTCCAAAATTTCTTTACTAACCTCACTAAATGTAGTCAGTTTGTAGCTATTTGTGGACTTAAGCACAATGAATACACTGTAAATGAAGATGGTGGAATACAGTTTTCACAGTTAAAGTTGGAAGAACAGCAACAACAACAACAACAAAAAAATCAAACATTTAACTATCTAATTAAACTTATTTTTCCAAAAACAAAAAATTATTTAGAGCTCGAGCTGCACTTACAGTTATTTGCAACTGTGAGACCAACAAATGAACAAATAGGACGAACTATCTCAGGCTTTGTGCAACATTCCAGCCACTCTTTGGCATATGGGAAAACTGAAGAGCAAATGTTTTGATTATATTCTAGAAAAGTGAAAACAAATAATTCCCAATCAAAATGTATTATTAAATTTCAGTTGAATATTAAAAAATTAAACCCAACAATCATTGACAAAAACTAAAACAAACTGTTACCACTTTGGAGAAATACTTTAAACTTTTGTCACAATTTTAACAGCAACATTCTTACCATTCTGGGGATTGTTAACACAGGCACAGAGAGTACTGCAGACTGAGGACCACAGCTGATAGCACTGATTAGTATCTTCATCTGACAGATTGATCTCAGATGCGGAAAGCGTTGTTCTGTTAAGAACAATGCAAACAAGTCCCAAATAGTCAAGCAAACCTAACTGTTGAATAGTCTATCATTTTATGTTTAAATTGCAACTGCCCACCTGAATAACTGTAGCAGTAGGCCAATGCAGCCTGTATCTCTGACATAGGTTTGCCCACTTACTAAAAAAGAACACATGCAAGACTCCTAAGACATATGCAACTTGAGACAAAATCTTAATGTCAAGTTTAATTTACATATATACATTCTTTTCCCATTTCCTAAGCATATATCCCACCCCCAAAAAAAAAAAAAAACGAAATCACAACAAATGCCAATGCATTGGCAAAAATGTTCAATTTCTGTGTCTGTTTTTTATTATATATTGTCAGTAACGACTGGTTTGCATTATTTTTTAACTATAATTTCATTTTTAGTACTAAACCACTTTCTGCTATTTAAGGAAATCCCAGTGAATGATGATCTATTTACACAATTCAGGTTCAGTTACCTGCAATCATTCATCTTTAGAAATTAACTTTACCAAAACATTACTTATTGAAAGTTTCAAGTTTCTGTATTGCAGATTGTCAAATAGAAAAAAAAAATGGTGTAACACAGAAAAAAAAAAAAACAAAATAAAATGAACTTACTATTATTGGAAACCAGTGCTAAGATGACATAAACAGACATTCTTTTCAAGTTCACACCAGAATTCTTATTAATTAAAAATGAAATGAGGTCTTCAAACAATGCAGCAGTACACAAAGTTTGTTGACAATAAACTGAAACCAAAAATAAAAATCATTAAGTCCTAAAACAAGCCATTCATAAACCTAACTTATATTTGTAATATATTTACTAGAGTCTCAGTTGCATCCCATTATGTGATGAGTGGAGACAAACCAGGACAACAAGGTGGCTGAGGGCTTCTCCTGTAGTCAGTGCTAAACCAGCCAGGACCTAGGCAAACTCTGGAACAATTCACAAGTCATTTAACACTTGCTGCTAAGGAAGATAAGTAGCACAGCCGTCTGGTATCATCAAGGCATGCTGCCTACACAATTCAGCAAGGTATTACTCCAAATCTGGGGATAGACTGTGACACAGTGGCATTCCTACTCCCCCTTGCTTGATCTGAGAATCTTATTATGAGATTTTCTGCGACAAAAATGTAACAGAAACTAAGCACAGCAGAGGTAATGGTTACCCAGAAATACAAATAATATTACTTATTACCATTACTCTCCATTGTAATTCCTAATGTAAACAAAGCTGCTTCCTTTACTATGCCATGAATACTTGACTTTGCAAGATCATTTACAAACATCAAACCACCAATTTCTCGAAAATATTCACTTGCTTCACCTATAACATTAAAAAAAAGAACAAAATTAAAGTTTTGCTTTTATTTCTCTTTAAAATTAAAACCTTTCAAGATCCTTTAGGTTTTGTGGTTTTTTTTTTTTACAGTGACAATCAACTTAACATATATTAACATAATGACTGTATTTTTTCTAAGGAAAAACTCTTCTTACTGTTTTGTTGACAAATTGAGTAAATAGTGATCAAAGTGTCTTTCTGAGATAGAGGGCAGTCCATCTGGTATTTAAGGCATTCAAGCAATAAGTTCAGATCTGTTTTCACATCTATGAGCAAACACAAAAAACTTCATGAAAATTGTCAGCTCTTCTTTATGATCTTTATTAGTATTACAATAAACCTGCCCAAAAACGTAGTATGTGTTTTTGAAGTAAAAAAATGTGAGCAAATATGGACCTACACCATTTCTCTCTATCCACAAGTAACAAACATACATATGAAAATATTCCTTTCCGTAGTTTGTTATTCAAGCATGGTGTCTGTAAGCGGCGAGAAGCAAGACACGCCAACCCAATATGGGTGATAAGCAAACTTCTACTTTATTTGTGGCGCACTTCGCTTATATCCGCATGGTGTTTAGCACACCTACTAGTCAGAACAGTATTGGTTAGTTCTACACAGCTTCCTTCACATTCTCCTCCCACATCTGGTATCCGGTTACCTGTGAGGCCTACACCTTGCTTTGCTTGCACAAGGCCTCTAAGGATCCATGGCCTTGCTGTTGGAGCCATTCTGCAACAGGTGTCCTTTGCTAAAGTTACAGCCCCCTTTTCATATTTCTGGCCTTTAATTACTAGTAACAGTCTTAGTAAATGAGATGCAACAGCAAGGTGCATTAAGGGTATTTAAATGAGTAAAACAGAACCATGAAAATATTCAGAGTGAAAATAGAATTGCAGGAATCCAACAAAGCAAGGCTCACTATATGGTATTTACTTACAGAAAACTTAATCCCTTACCACAGCAGCTAGAATCTTAAATTGTTATATTAGTAAGTGAAGACAAAACATTTTCTGGGCAACTACACACAAGCCTAGGTAGGTAGACACTTTTGAGAATCTGTTTCTTAGTTGTATGGGTATAATAAAAAGACTTATTTGATACTTATTTGTGATAGCAACCACAGATTTGTAAACCTTTTTAAGACTTGGGGTTTCTTAAAGAAGTTTAAATACAATAAAAATGTAGGTTATTATTAGGAAAACAAGAAGTGACTGTTGTGGTACTGTCTACTATCTGCAAGTTTGTCATTACATTTTCCAACACAAAATTTGACACGGAAAAAAAAAATTTCCCCAATACCTCATCACCCATGACAAATCTATCACAGCCCAGTAAACCTTTGTAAAATTGATGCAGGTAATAAACGACAAATTATGTTGAGCATCTTACCACACTGTTTTTTCTGCCTCTTTTGAGTTTCCATTTTTGGTTGTATCTCTGTTCTTGCTCTACAACAGCAAGGAAAAAGTGTTTTCTGTTCAGATTAGCACCATTTGTAACACCATATGCAGTATAAACAAAATTTTTTTTCTTCAATACACTCTTTCCAGTTTTATGGTTTTACTCAGTCATCTGACACACAGTTTAATATGCTTTTGCATGGCAAAGATTTCCTTTGGAAATACAGTATTTTACAGTAACACTGCATTTGTAACTATCACGTTACTATCTTTTGAAAGTCAGCATTTTGCAGAGATCAAGTTGATTCCATGTGGGCACCAAATATGTCCCTGTCATTAAAAATATACCTAGTTCTATGTCATTACCACAATAAGTGTGATCCAATTTTCCTTGCAATAGGTTGCCAACTTTGTCATCAGCCAACAACTAGCAGTAAGACCACCAAGTAATGTTATGGAGACAGTCAGTTGTGTTCGATATCCACTACAGAACCTGCAGCCTCCTACTGCTACTCAGTGAGCCACTAAACCATAATTGTGTTGTTTCAACAGTACTGATCAAAACCAAAGACAAGAAACATGAACTGTTATTTCTTAAACTAAAGATTTATTTTAATTCACCAAAGAAATTATCACATTACATTAAGTATGCAAACCAGAAAACCCAACAGGGATTCTACATAAACCTAACATGCCAGCATCTGAAAGACTTGAACAGCAGAGTGAAACTGAGGTCTGGGAACAGAAAGATGGTCCCTTAAGCATCCCCCAGGACCCAGACACAAAAGATTGATGCAAGCACCACAGTAACCTATTTCAATCTCTCAAAAATTATCTATCTCCAGTTAGAAACTTTGTATGAGTGATAAATCCAGCTTAGTAATGGACTGGTTATCCTTCTCCAAGTAAAGCAAAGGCCATAAGAAAATATCACTGCCATCTTAATGAAGACAGAGAGGTCTGCTTTAGTCAGATTGTTCCCATTCTTTTCCTGCTTCCATTAGTTCAAATACTCTGCATTCATCCTTACAATGGCATTGATGAAGTGTGTGTTTTGAGAGGGAATGTTTAGAATTCATCTTTCTTTGCCCTTTCAGAAGTGATAATACACATAATTTAATTTTCTTGCAAATCTAACCCTGCCACAACAGCAGAAAGCTTGCAAGTCTTCCTCACCTCTTTTGCCCCTACTGCTGGCCTAAAACAAAAACTATTCACATACTCCTCAACAAAAGAAAGGCTGCAAAACCAAGCTCACTTTGCAGCTAATTTCATTTCCACAAAATTTAATTAAATACACATGCATACAATTAAAGAGCCTTTAATATGAGAAAAACAAATAGTTTTTTAAACACTATAGAAAGATGTCTTGACCTCAGCTGGATCTTTTGCAACATATGGAAGGTACATAAAGTATAAGCCAGTCTACACTAAAATACAAATAGCTAATATCTGTTGTTGCATCACAGGCCAAAGATGAAAATATAAGTAACACAATCTGCTGCAGCAGACTTCTGGTAAATGCTGTGTGTAAAAGAAAATAATTACCTATCAATTACGAAAAATAACCCATACCATCCCATGAGAACTAAAAAAATTCCACTCTTATAGCAGCACAGATAAATTCAAGCCCCTGCACAGCCACACCAGGCTAAGAACACCCAGTCTCAGGGGGACTTTTCCTTTTAAAATCCTATGGTCAAAGTCACTGCAGTGAAGGAAGTCGGGATAGTTGGTGTCCCGCTGAAACCCAAAAGTATGCCAGCAGCTGAGGCTGCGCTGCTACCTTTGGTGAAACGCCTCAGCACGGCAGACCTCTGAAGTCCTCCACTGCTATTTTAGCAATGTTTCCACCCCCATCCCCTTACACAATTCAGAACTCACTATCAGAGCTCCACGCTGAAGTCTTAACAAGTACTCCAGATCACCCCAAATACAAAAAGGAAAAAATATTTAACTTTTTTTTCAAAAGAAGAGCCAACTGTCTACAGAGGAATCATTTTTCTGCCAGCTTTCGGGAAGCGTGGGGAGTATCACGAGGATGTGAAACAGGGCACATCTACCTGTCGATCCGCAATAGCAGCGACTCTGCTCACACACCAAGGCGCTCCGGGCCTTTCCCGCCGCCCCCCTGAGGAGACCACCCGCCCGCGCGCCTTTCCCGCCCCGCCGCGCGGCCCCTCAGGAGCGCTCTGAGCCGGGGTGCGGTCGGGCGGCTCCTCGCGGGCACCGCGGCCCCTTCCAGGCTCCTCTTCCGCCACCCGAACTGGAGCGCGGCTTCAGGCCCAGGCCGGGGCGCAATCACTCGGTTTCCGTGCAGGGTTCAGTGCAGTGTTGGAAACTACAGCAACACCGCAAACCGCAGTGAGCCATCATCTGACATTTGCCGGACACCAATGGCGTAGGACAAAGAACCTTTTAGCAGGTGAACAGAGCTGCAAACCAAGCTGTCTGGAAGGCAGTCCCTCTCCACAGCCTCCCTGGACTCTGTAAAAGGTGGTGCACCTTTCCCTAGCTCTTCTCACAGCTGGATCCTCACTCTGTAATAGTTACAGTGGCATTTTTCAACCTTTTGGGAGTCCTCTCCCCTCAACCTGAAGAACAGCTTTTACAAGAAGAAAATTAACCTGTAAAAAGCAGCCCTGCTGCAAATCAGGTCAGCCAATTTGTAAATCCATGTACCATAACAGAGAACAGCTTCTGCTGTTTTCTTTCAAAGGTGGATCTGAAAAGTCCAGATTAAAGACAAAAACATTATTAAATTAGGTTTTGGTATGATTTTTTTTTTTGTCCCCAGGGGAGCTGGGGGGGGGGGAATCGTTACAAATAAAGGACCTTTGATTGGTGGGTAATATGGAACAGTTGGTGGTAGTACACCACAGTATTTACAGAACATTGCAGCAGCATTGCTTGGTGGCAAAGAGTGGAGCATCCTCATCTTACAGCTGGAAAGTCGCTGAAGTCTGTGACACACCACTGTAAATGTAAGTGTTATTAAAAATTACAAACTGCCCTGTAATGACTTTGATAACCTCCTGTGCAGCAGCTCCTGCAAAAGAAACGAAAGGAAAACAAGAAAAACAGATAAAAGGTGGTTAGCACTTTACGTTTAAAAGCCAGTAAAAGGATGTTATCTACAACTTGCTACACTGGAATTATTTCAGCAGCACCTGACACAACTCCTGGGGGGGGTGGAAATGCCTTTCAGTACTTCCCATATAGAAGAGGCTCAGACAATTCACTTCAGAAGTCAGCTTTACATATACTTTGCTGTATATACTTTCTCTCCATGTGCATACACACAGAGTACAAATGTGTGAGTTGTGACCTCGCTACATCAAATTAAGAGGTTCAATCAAAAAAACATGTACACTTGAAACTGTAAAATAAATTGTGATCTGTGTTCTCCTGTAGCATGAAATACTCTGCAATTTCTTCAGAAGTTATCTTTACATGTTTTCTAAAGCACTGCAAATACCAAGTTCACTTTATCAGAAGAATCCTACCTACATCCACTGAGTATTTAACATATAATTATCTTCAGCACCACATGAAATGAAATAAAGACGCTAAGATATATCAATTTTGAGCATGAATTTAAACATTTTGTTTTGATAATACCTGCAGGTAAGCAACCAAGTCTATTTACATTTAACAGACACTTAAATAAGTGTATTATGTTAAAGAAAAATGTGTACTCTGTTAAAGTAATAACTCCAGTAGTATTAACTCAAAGGCTTTTTCAAACATTTTATTTTTAAAGACAGTTTTAAGTTACTAGAATTGCTATACTAAGATTATTTATTTGGTTTATTTTGGTGACTTTAAACCTTCACTGTTTCCACTTTTTCTGTATATCAAAGGAGGTCACATCCTGAGAACCCAGAGGGAGCATTTTGCTGTAAAATATTATCTTGACAACAGTCTGTGATTATAACAGTTACAAAGTAATTAAAACAGTGAAGATTTGGACTCAAGCATGTACTGCAACAGGCTGGTTTGTTTCTATGTACCTTAGAAATACCATGGCATTCTTACCTCCCACAAGGGCAGCAATAGCATGTGGCTCAGCAGCTCCATAGCGACAACTGGATAGCAAAGTAACAGTTAGTATTTTGGGGTCAGTTTTACCAACAAAGTGACACTTCAGATAGAATACTTACAACTCTTGAAAATAGTCATCTTTCACCACTACAGACAGCCCATGTTCTTGCAAGAAACCAGCAAGGCATGATTTCAGTTTTCCAGTATCATCTTCTACCTGATAGTTGCAGACACCTAGAAAATAAGTTAACTGGTTCACAACAATAAGTTAACTGGTTCAACACAATTGCAATGCCATATTCAAAGTTAATGGATTTAAATGGCACCACAGTATTTTTCTGAAAAGTTTCTTAGCCAATTAATATATTAATATGAGACTAATAATAATTGGATATTCTGTTGATGTGACTCATGACAATGACAAATAACTGCACAGCTGAACCAATTCATAATCCATGCAACCCATTTCAGTAGTATCAATTCAGATACATCCTTTAAATTCCCTGACACAAAATTCTCACTTTAATTTTCACATTCTTAAAGTTACGTTAATATATAAACAAACCCTCAGCTAATAATATAGTTTATAACTAGTATTACAGTAAGCATTTGATGTTTATATTTCTTTTGATGATGTTAAGTAACTCTGGTATTTACATACCTGGGTATCTGCCATACTGCTTATAAAATCTATCTACAGCTCGCAGCATCAAGTACAGAACTATTTCACTGTCTGGGTTATCCATATGGGAAACTGAAAACAGCAAGAGAATGGATTAGCTGGTACAGACAAAACGGAAGGGGAAAAAGAAAACTATTTTAATTACTTTAAATCAAGTATTTCCCATATGCTTAAACTGTGATAGCCACAGTAAAAAGAAGTTTTAATGAAAAAAAACCCTGCAACTAAGAATCTCAGTATGTCAACTCTCAGATACATGATTTTGACTCCATAGCATAGGACAAACCATACTGTATGTATCTGACATACTGTTCTTTGAAGATACGCATGTTTCAACTCTGACAGCTGCTATAAAATTAAATAGGATAATGCTTAGTCATAATTTGGGGATTTGAAATGCATCTTTCATACATTTAACTGCAATGACTATAACTACAAAGAAGGTCTTAACTCCCTT